TGGAGAATCATTAGGGTGACAGACTAAAATCCCCAATTCGGTCTCAGTGTTTAAAAACTAAAGCGAGAGTTAGCCTTCAGGTGAAGGGAAGTGGGAGCCAGTATCCTCCTAGCTTAGCCTTGGATTTAGGGACAAAACTTGAGATTAGCCAATGATTTTCTATAACACTGTATCAGGGTAGAAAATTAAAACTGCTCCTATTTGGCACAATATTTATTTAAACCATTTATTTCATCTCATTTTATCAAAACCTCATTATGGTGAGAAAGATGCTTTTTCACATACAAAATCTTCATCACTTAAATATAGTTCAATAGTATAATAGTTACTGTTTAAACTTTGTATTTCAGTTTTGTTGGTAGTTAAATAATTTAGTTCTGATATATCTTAACATTCGAAATTAGTGACAGTAATTTTGTTTTGACTTTCTGTAAATTTTCTAGTAAATTTATCATTTCAAATTTAAACATTTCCCGTGGGATTTATATTTGGGGCTTAAATAGAAAGTCATTTATTACTTGATAACGATACTTATACTAGAATCCCAATATTATTGCTTAAATTTCTAATTCATAAAATACTGCATCAAGCTTTTGGCACCGTTGCATAACGGAGTCAACTATACAATTTTTACACAGCTATATTATCACGGGAAAGATTTAAATGTTACCAAAACGCTGTCGGGGAAGGTAACAGTAAATTAAATAGATTTGGTAAATTAGGAAATTTAGAGATAATTAATTAAAAAAGAATTAGAAAAAAAATTTCAAAAAATTTCAAAAATCCAAAAAGAAAATATATTTTTATTTAAGAGTTATTTTTATGAAATTTTTCTTTGCTTATTATATTTGTTTATGCGAAATATTGGATCTGAAGGTTTAGTACCTTAAGATTCAGAATTAGAGCGTACTATTAGAAAAATTAAAAAAAAATAAAAAGAAATTAAAAACTTAAATGAAATGGTGAATAACTTAAATAATTAAATAAATGAAAATCAACAAAGACCTTTAAAAGATTATGGTAATCCGACAGCAGATGAACTTCACTTGACTATTCAAAATCCTGATGTTATTGCTAATTCAATTGAACTTAAACTTGCTATTATCCAAATGACACAAAATAATCAGTTTAGAGGAACACCTACTAAAGATCCAAACTTACATCTTACTAATTTTCTCGAAATTTGTGCTACTTTTAAATATGATGGAGTGTCTAATGATGCTATTAGGCTTGGACTTTCTCCTTTTTCATTAAGAGATAAAGCCAAGGCTTGGTTAAATTCATTAGCACCTGGATCTATTAGAACAATGGGAGAACTATCAAAAAAATTCTTAGCTAAATATTTTTCACCTTCTAAAACTTCTTAGCTTAGAAATGATATTACATCCTTTTGTCAGTTTGAAGGGGAATCAATATATGAAGTTTAAGATAGATTTAAAGATATTCTTAAAAAAATGTCCACACCATGCTCTACCAGATTGGTTAATAATTCAAACATTTTATAATGGATTAGTAGGATCACTTAGATCTATTATATATGCTGCTGTGGGTGGATCACTAATGTCAAAACCTTTTGATGTAGCATATTAATTGAAGAAATGACTACTGACAATTTTCAATAGCCCTCTGATGGGTAAATCCTAAGAGAGTAGCCAGTATTCATGATTTTGATGCAATGTCTATTTTAGCATCTCAAATTGTTGCTATTTTGAAAAATATTGATCAAATTATTGATCAAATAGGAGTGAACT